AAACTTTTTCATAAAACCTTTTTAAATAGAGTATTTAACAAAAACATAAGATTGAGTGTTGTTGATTTAAATTGAGTGCGTTTATGTTTGAGTTGTTAACGTATTCTCCTTTGACAAATCAGCAGACACTTTCTTCTCAACTGTCCTCAGAGGCTTCAGAAACAGTAACTCACTGAAGGAAGAACTGCAGCTGACTTGATTCATGTGAGGCAAACAAGTTTTTTAGCAACATACTTAAAATGATATCATAATTGTTGAAGTGCAGTGTAAATTTCACTCCTTTTGTTTGTTTCAATGTTCTAGTAAGTGTAGAAATCTACCATGTACTTAGTTTTATTATGATGTAATTTACTGTGTATATATATATGATTGTTTTTAGGCCAGGTGGTAAACGCTGCCATTCTTCACGAATAGGCTACTGCTGCTCTTCAAAGATCTGAGTCATCAATAAGGTAAAGCACACAGAAAGAGTTTTTGTTTGAATACAATTCAGTTTCCCAAGTTATCTTGTATTTTATTTAGTTACTGAAACGGCAAGAAAGCACTTTGACTTGCTTTGATTATTTCCATTCTTGTTGCTGTCCAACTAGCAACATTCCTTTGTATTGTTACATTTTTATTATTATATCACTCTAACCTGTGCTTAAACAATGAGTACTGTACGATGTATTAAAAGAAAATGCGTCTTAATTATTTTTTTTATTTTAATCACAGGATCCTTCGATCCCTGCCCCAACCATTCATCTAAAGGACTGCGGCAATGAGACCCTTTGGACCAACAGTGGCAGTTTACCCAGGATGAGATCTCGCTGATGTTAGCCTGCAGTACTGACACATTTTTTGGTTTTCCAGCATATTTTGAAATTTTGAACCCATTCTAAAAGTGACTGTATGATGTTGAGATCTATCTATTGACACCGAGGACAACTGAGGGACACACACAACTATTACAAAGGGTGAAAGATAAGTAGATGACAATATTTACAATAACAGACAATGTCTGTTGTTGTTCATTACACTGTGTTTTTAATTGTTCTGGTCAATTGTTCTGATCTGGTCAATTTCACTTTTCAATTAAAATTTTTAATCAATTGATTTAATTTACTGCAAGTATTGTAATTGTATTTTTTACTGATTAAATGTTAATATACAATGTTCAGTCAGTATGCATTATAGAAGTTAAGATATGTAATGTAAGCCTAATAAAGCTGTTGTGAAAAACAAAACTTGGTTTAATGATTTATAATTTATTTAAAATGTATTTAATAATAAGTAAACAACAAAATATAACCTGGAAAATTTGAGTTTACTCCATTTGCCTTTTAAGTTATCTTTACTTAAACATTTAAGTTAATTCAATGAGAAGACCACATTAGGTCAACTCAATTAATTAAGTTTGAATTTTCCCATTACTCAAAAAAACTTACGCAACCACTTTCCTCAAATCATTTGAGTAGTCTCAACTTATTAGGGTTTACAGTGCAGGACGGTGAATTAAATTATATATTTTGTTCATGGCAATATGCATTTAAATTGAGTTGCAGTGCTTCCTCAGCCAAGATTTGTTAATACGTTTTCATTTTTATATTTATTCATATTATATTTTTTATTCATTTAGAATATTTTTGCTCAATGATGTGCTGATTCTGAATTCGTTATTCATAATAAAAATAAGTATTTCTATTCCGACACTTGTGACATAACAGATGCTTATCAGAGTGATGAGGGATGTGATCTCATAACCTCCGGAGAGATGTTATTTAAAATTGTTTTGGTACATAATGTGCGTGAGAGCAATCCCATAACCTTCTAATTTTGTATCTAAATCATTTTTTTGGGAAGATTTGATAAGCTTATTCCATCTGTTTTATGTCAGAGGTATACATTTTTGACAATCGTTAGGAAAACATATTCATCATGGAGTCATGGGATACTATTTTCCTACATTTGTACATGGGAATGAAGCATTTTAAGTGTTCTTATCTAGTGTCTCCCACCAAGTCTGTCTCATGCATTTTAGTTTTTTTTTTTTTTCACATGATGATGGACAAGAATGAGTGCGAGTACATTTTGTGCACGTGTGTGTGGTCATACCCTTGTTTTGATGAGTAACGTCTTCTGCTTCCAGATTCTACTTTAGCAGGGAATAAGGAAAGGTATGTTATTGCATTGCACCTCGGATGCCTATAAAACTCCTTAAAAACACACACATTTATAACAGATGTGAGCCAAAGAAGTGTTGTGAGACGTTTTCTCAACGTATTTCTCACACTCTAAAAAATGCTGGGTTGTTTCAACCCAAATTTGGGTCAAATATGGACAAACCCAAATGTTGGGTTAAAAATGTCATTTAAAATTTTAACCCAACTTTCACTTTCAACTGTAAATTTTTTAATTACATTTTTATCCCAACATTTGGGTTTGTCCATATTTGACCCAAATTTGGGTTGAAACAACCCAGCATTTTTTAGAGTGGTCCAAAGCCCTCAAGATATTAATACCAACCTCAGTCAAACTAGTATATGATTAATATTTCTCTGCAAAACCCATCAGTTATACATTTCAAAGCAGAAACGGCTCGAATTAAATGCACGTTTGTTTCTCTTTAAAGTTAAATATAGAGATTCATAAATGTTTAAATAAAACAGTATCCTTACATGAACAAAGAGAATTACACACTCTGTCATTAGCTGAACATTTTAATGTTTATGAACAATGATATTTACATATGTAGACAGGAATATAAAGAGAAACATGTTCTGGATGATTATATGCAAATATTCTATACATGCAATAAAGTAAAATATTGGCATAAAAGCATAAAATATTGTGATAAAACAAGGGTAAATGACTGATTTATAATATTCATAATATATTACAATACATTCAGAATATATTATAAAAAAAAAAAAAAAAAGAATAATTGCTTTTAGTTTCTTGGTCAAACAAAAAAAACATTTTTAACAAATATTTCCAAAAATGGTAACAAAACATATATAAAAATAAAAATAATAAAAACATTACCCTGTGTATGTATGTATGCATGTATATGTATGGCCATGTGCTATTAATAATTACATTTATTTTAGCAATATGGTCACTAAACCATGGCAGTGTTGGCTATTAGCATCAACATCAACTGTTTTCAAACAAATTCACACACAGATTCCTTATTCATGTGTCATTTAGCAACAGTCACACAAAAATCCTCAAATATTTGGTCCAAGCTGGATGCCATGACAACCATGACATCATCCAGAAAGCCACAATCAATTTGACAGCACTTGTACAGGAGGGCAGAAATTGCATAATCATCTTTACAACACGGCCTTTCCTTTGCATGGAAACCAACAACGTCAACTTTGCTTTTGTGCTTCCCCTTATCATGCCTCAGTCCGCTCATGTATTTTTCTTAATCGCACAGAAGCAAAGGCAGTCTCACAGGCTCATACTTTGAATTGCACTACAATACTGTGGCGCAGAAAGCAAGTAAGGATTGTCTGTTTACAAAATAAACATGTTGGATTTATGCTGGAATGTATTGCAACATATTTAAATCCCCCCTGTAGTCGATAATTTGATCCTTTAAAACTCATCGTTGATCACCAAAACGGTATATTAAAAAAAAAATTCCCGTGGAAAAAAAATTCTTCATACCTTAAAATAGCTGGAATGCAAATCTACACACGCTGCTTCATGAATATGCTAATTAGCCCCGCCTCCACTCAGAGATTCACTCGCCAACTTACTGAGGTAAACGCTGCACAATGGTATCGTATTGTTAGCTTGTTATCAATCGCGAGATACACTCAAAAAATGCTGGGTTGTTTCAACCCAAATTGGGGTCAAATATGGACAAACCCAACCATTGGGTTAAAAAAAATGTTATTAAAATTTGTAACCCAACGGTTGGATTCGTCCATAATTGACCCAAATTTGGGTTAAAACAACCCTGCATTTTTTAGAGTGATGAAGTCAGAATTGTGAGAAATAAAGTCGCAATTGCGAGAAATAAAGTCGCAATTGCGAGAAAAAAGACAGAATTGCGACTTTTTATCTCACAATTCTGACTTTTTTTCTCACAATTGTGAGTTTACATCTTGCAATTCTGACTTTATAACACATAATTGCAAGTTTATTTCTCGAAATTCTGACATCTTTTTCAGAATTGTGAGTTATCAGGCCAATTCTAAGAGGAAAAACTTTTTTCCCCTCAGACTAGTTTATATCTCACAATTCTGACTTTATAACACGCAATTGGGACTTTTATATCAATCAATTCTGACTTTATATCTCGCAATTGTGAGAAAAAAAGTCAGAATTGTGAGATAAAAAGTCGTAATTACCTTTTTTATTTTTCATTCTGTGGCGGAAACAAGCTTCCATAGTATCGCTCTTTACAACATGGGACACATAACGGTAATTAATATGATTAGCCTTTTGCTTGACTATGTTATTAGACAGCTAATAATGTGCTGCTAATGTTTACATTTATGCATTTAGCAGACGGTTTTATCCAAAGCGACTTACATTGCATTTCAAGGTACATATTTTACATTTTTATCAGTTCTCAGTTCTACCGGAAAGCTATGTCCCGTATCTCAGTCTGCCTTCTAACAATCATCAGAAACGCTTTCAACATAACAGAACGTCAGTGGAGAAAGGTATTTAGTTCATCATTATAACATCGTAATACACATCATATGGCTAAATCTACCTGATTTTTCATATCAACAGAAGAATATCCTGGAGACTCCCCTGCTAGTTAATGACAGGTTGATCTGATTGGTTACAAGGTCGTTTGTGACATCAGAAACACCGTCGATTTCAAACCGTGTTTTTGAGACTGTCTTTGTTTCACTGCAGTTTTAAGGAGAAAATACTCAGCAATGCTGTCGACTTATGAGTTGCCACATGGTTTGTCTTAAAGCGTATTAAAAACACCACATAGACACATAAACAACATTAAAAGCTGTATTTACACCACAGGGGGACTTTAAAACACAGATGCACTAAGCTAGCACGCCTTGCACGTTGGTGTCGCGCAGGACGTAGCCCTCGGTGTCTCGGTCACAGTGTGTCGGCGAGCTCTTATGGGGACAGAGGAGGGCGTGGAAATGCCTTCGAAAAGTTTCCGACAGACATGCGTACAGGATTGGATTGGCGCAGCTCCACGAATACGACAGCAGCACCACAAACTCAAAGCCACGTGTGAAATCCGGCGCCAGATCCGTTCGGTGCAGAGAGCAAAAGTTCAAGACGTAGAACGGCAGCCAGCAAACGCCAAACACCAAAACAACCGCCACCACCATCTTAGTAACCTGTTTCTCCAGCCTGTGACTCTCCAGCGAAGAAGACGTTTGCGTTCTGGCGTTTCTCAGAGTCACTAACAGTGCCGTGTAAAACACAATCATCACGGTGAAGGGCAAAGCAAAGCCCAATACAAACGTGTAGCTGAGAAAGGTCAACCACCAGGTGTCAGATGCGACGTGAGGGTCAACGGTGCACAAACCGTAGTTAGCAGAGAAGTTAATAGCCATTGGAAGCACGGGAAATAGAGAGATAAACCACATTAATGCAGCGATGATCTTCGCCCGTCGTGGCGTCCGCCAACGAGCGAATCGCATCGGGTCTACCAGCGCCATGTAGCGGTCAACACTCATTACCGTCAGGCAGAACACGCTTGTGAATTGATTAATGCCGTCTAGAACCATAACCAGCTTGCAAACGGCATCTCCGAAGATCCACTGGTCTTGGAAGTTTTGGATAGCGATAAACGGGAGTCCTACCATGAAAAGTCCATCAGCCAAAGCCAAGTTGAAAATGTAGACGGTGGTCGCCGAAGACATTTTGTCCAGCTTTAGGATGGTGATTATAACCAGCGAGTTCCCGGCCAATCCCACGATGCAAACTGCCAGGTACATCACGACCATGGTGACGCTGAACGCGTCGAAGTCCTCCTGGATGTAGACGTTGTTTATCGCGGCACCTAGAAGCGACACGTTGTCGTAAAACATTTCCAAAGGCACTGCCGTTTCCATTTGTAGTCCTTATAGTTCAAACGTATTACAAGAACCAGGGTTAGTTCTTGATCTCCACCTTGTCCTTGAAGGCTTACTTTCCCATCTTGAGAACTGAAGAAATTTCAAAGGTAAAACACATTTCACCCCAAAAAACCTGGGAGGATATTTGTTGAAATATCTCCAAACTCTAGTTGGTGTCAGACCCTCCTGTGGAGATCTTATATATCCCAAAGTGTATGTGTGTGTGTGTGTGTGTGTGTCTAAGTCATCCGTCGACTCTGATAAGCTGCGCCGGCTCGTTCCAATCCGCTGTTATGAGGTTTCCAGGGTGCCATCTGTTACAATACTTTTGTTTTCATAACTAAACACTCTTGTCAGAAGGTCCATCCAGCCTCTTTCTTTCACACTCCCTTGTTCACTCCCTCTCGTTTTCCTCCTTCACTCCACCCCTACGTTTCCTCCCTTTCCTCGCAGTTCAGTGGGGGGTCAATCTGAGCCGATCAACCCCCAACTTCTCCTATGGGCCACCCACTTTACAAATACGTCCCCATCGGATGAGTGATGAATCTGGCCTGTCTGCGTTTCCCCCCTCCACTGTTTATATTTCTGGCTGATTGTCTTTGTTTGTTGGTCAGTGAATCATCTATCACGCGCACAAGGCCTCAGTGGGTGGAAGCGCTTGCAGATAAAAGGGCAAGAGTAATGAGCGATCACCTTAGTCCTGTTCCTCTTCTGACACGCATTGTTGGAATGCCAGTGAACTTCCCAAGAAATGCGAGAAAACAGTAACTGAGGGAGGTAATGATTAGGCTCATACATACTCACCTCACTGACCACAAGCACTGTTTTAGGAGAGATTATGCAATATGCAAATTGTTTTGGAGGTCATTCTACTCCCAATTCCATGAATCATTCCTACAATTTTGGAACTTTCCATTGGCATGTTGAGCTTATGTCGAGGTTTAAGGGGCCTCAAGTGACTTTGTGTTGCTGAAGACAGGTATCAAGTCCTCTCCAATAAATCTACATGGCCAGCGTTTGGTTTCACTGTTCTGGGCTTGAGTTTTCTTGTATCTGTTAACTAGGAACATACCGGTTTTTACAAATACCATGCTGTAGTTTCTAAGAATTGTAAAAAAAGAACCAGGACGTGATTGGAAATATTCTGAAACCTTTCATTCAAAAGCATTTAATGCATGTTCTAAACAATGCTGGGTTGTTTTAACCCAAATTTGGGTCACATATGGACAAACCCAAATGTTGGGTTAAAATGTAATAAAAAAAATTAACCCAACTTCAACTTTCACTTTCAACTGTAAATTTTTTTAATTACATTTTTAACCCAACATTTGGGTTTGTCCATATTTGACCCAAATTTGGGTTGAAACAACCCAGCATTTTTTAGAGTGTCATCTGTGTTTCTTATCTTTATTCATTTGTCTTGTATGCTTTTGTTATATGTGTGTTCTTTAATTAGTAAAACAGTGTATGCTGAGGTACATTCAACAAAATGCTGGGTTGTTTCAACCCATGTTTGGGTCAAATATGTACAAACCCGACCGTTGGGTTTGAAATTTAATTTTAAAATTTAAACCAACGGTTGGGTTTGTCCATATTTGACCCAAACATGGGTTGAAACAAACCAGCATTTTGTAAAATGTAGTAAAAATGAATGAATGAAATGTAGTTGTGAAAAATGAATGAAAATTAGGTATTTAAATACAGCATGAGTCTTATTAAATAGCACTGCATTTGCTTCATCATATCACTTGATAGATTGTTTTGCCAGTTATCAAATTAAAGCATAGTTTAGGATATGGTTAATTGTAAGTGTTGCACTCACTCCAAACTTAATGAGTCTCTTATGCATGTAGATATAATGTATTTTAACATAAAAATGGCAGAGATTGTACAATCATTATATATTCAATATGAGCTTAGCATTAAAGGGTAAGTTCACCCAAAAATGAAAATTATTTTATAATTGAATCACCCTCAAGCCTTCCTAGGTGTATATGACTTTCTTCTTTCAGCCGAACACAATCAGAGTTATATTAAAACATTTCCAAACTTTATAATGGGAGTGAATGGTACCTTAGATTTTGAAACCCAAAAAAGCGCATCCATCCATCATAACAGTAATCCATACGACTCCAGGGGTCAATAAAGGCCTTCTGAAGTGAAGCCATGTGTTTTTGTAAGAAAAATATCCGTATTCATAACTTTATAAACTGTAATCACTGGCTGTAACGGCCGAAAGCTAGTCTAGTTCCAGCGGAAGAGTGACCTCTGACACGACTCATGACCTCTGACCCGACACATGACGTGGGAGTAGCGTAAGCTCAGGTGAGAGTCGACGACCTCTGACCCGACACATGACCTCTGACCCGACACATGACGTAAGAGTAGCGTAAGCTCAGGTGAGAGTCGACGACCTCTGACCCGACACATGACCTCTGACCCGACACATGACGTAGAAGTAGCGTAAGCTCAGGTGAGAGTCGACGACCTCTGACCCGACACATGACCTCTGACCCGACACATGACGTAAGAGTAGCGTAAGCTCAGGTGAGAGTCGACGACCTCTGACCCGAAACATGACCTCTGACCCGACACATGACGTAAGAGTAGCGTAAGCTCAGGTGAGAGTCGACGACCTCTGACCCGACACATGACCTCTGACCCGACACATGACGTAGGAGTAGCGTAAGCTCAGGTGAGAGTCGACGACCTCTGACCAGACACATGACCTCTGACCCGACACATGACCTCTGACCCGACACATGACGTAGGAGTAGCGTAAGCTCAGGTGAGAGTCGATGACCTCTGACCAGACACATGACCTCTGACCCGACACATGACGTGGGAGTAGCGTAAGCTCAGGTGAGTCGACGACCTCTGACCAGACACATGACCTCTGACCCGACACATGACGTAGGACTAGCGTAAGCTCAGGTGAGAGTCAATGACCTCTGACCAGACACATGACCTCTGACCCGACACATGACGTGGGAGTAGCGTAAGCTCAGGTGAGTCTACGACCTCTGACCAGACACATGACCTCTGACCCGACACATGACGTAGGACTAGCGTAAGCTCAGGTGAGTCGACGACATCTGACCCGACACATGACGTAGGAGTAGCGTAAGCTCAGGTGAGAGTCGATGACCTCTGACCAGACACATGACCTCTGACCCGACACATGACGTGGGAGTAGCGTAAGCTCAGGTGAGTCGACGACCTCTGACCCGACACATGACCTCTGACCCGACACATGACATAGAAGTAGCGTAAGCTCAGGTGAGTCGACGACCTCTGACCCGACACATGACCTCTGACCCGACACATGACGTAGGAGTAGTGTAAGCTCAGGTGAGAGTCGATGACCTCTCACCAGACACATGACCTCTGACCCGACACATGACGTGGGAGTAGCGTAAGCTCAGGTGAGTCGACGACCTCTGACCCGACACATGACCTCTGACCCGACACATGACATAGAAGTAGCGTAAGCTCAGGTGAGTCGACGACCTCTGACCCGACACATGACCTCTGACCCGACACATGACGTGGGAGTAGTGTAAGCTCAGGTGAGAGTCGACGACCTCTGACCCGACACATGACCTCTGACCCGACACATGACATAGAAGTAGCGTAAGCTCAGGTGAGTCGACGACCTCTGACCCGACACATGACCTCTGACCCGACACATGACGTAGGAGTAGTGTAAGCTCAGGTGAGAGTCGATGACCTCTGACCAGACACATGACCTCTGACCCGACACATGACGTAGGAGTAGTGTAAGCTCAGGTGAGAGTCGATGACCTCTGACCAGACACATGACCTCTGACCCGACACATGACGTGGGAGTAGCGTAAGCTCAGGTGAGTCGACGACCTCTGACCAGACACATGACCTCTGACCCGACACATGACGTAGGAGTAGCGTAAGCTCAGGTGAGAGTCGATGACCTCTGACCAGACACATGACCTCTGACCCGACACATGACGTGGGAGTAGCGTAAGCTCAGGTGAGTCGACGACCTCTGACCAGACACATGACCTCTGACCCGACACATGACGTAGGAGTAGCGTAAGCTCAGGTGAGTCGACGACCTCTGACCCGACACATGACCTCTGACCCGACATATGACGTAGGAGTAGCGTAAGCTCAGGTGAGTCGACGATCTCTGACCAGACACATGACCTCTGACCCGACACATGACGTAGGAGTAGCGTAAGCTCAGGTGAGTCGACGACCTCTGACCAGACACATGACCTCTGACCCGACACATGACGTAGGAGTAGCGTAAGCTCAGGTGAGTCGACGACCTCTGACCCGACACATGACCTCTGACCCGACACATGACGTAGGAGTAGCGTAAGCTCAGGTGAGGGTCGACGACCTCTGACCCGACACATGATGAAGGAGTAGCGTAAGCTAAGGTGAGAGTCGACACCTCTCGCGGTTCAAACAACAAACTCAAGCTCCTCCCACATTTCTCCTTAAAAACTCTCATTTTAGATTTATAATTCCTGACTCGTGTTTTGTTTTGCTCTATCCTCTACACTTCTGCATTCATCAATAGAGAGCCTAAGTCCCTCCCCTTCCGGTCGACCACCATGGGACCTTATTTCGGAAAAATATTGTATGGTAGTAAAATGGCGAGAGACAACAAATATTTTGATCTCGTTTGAATTGTGCCCTGAATTACACATATGATGTTTGTCAATTTAAAAGATACATTTTAAAGTCAAGAAAGTCGCAGTTTGATGTGAAACTGTTGAGGTATAAGACTGTGAAAATATGTAATTACAAAGACTACAAACCCCAAAGGCGCACATTTTCTCTCAATGAATGAAGCTAACTTTACTGAAGCTAACTTTACCGAAGCTAACTTTACTGAAGCTAACTTTACTGAAGCTCACTTTACTCTGAAGCTAACTTTACTGAAGCTAACTTTACTGAAGCTAACTTTACTGAAGCTCACTTTACTCTGAAGCTAACTTTACTGAAGCGATCTTTACTGAAGCTCACTTTACTGAAGCTAACTTTACTCTGAAGCTAACTTTACTGAAGCTAACTTTACTGAAGCTAACTTTACCGAAGCTAACTTTGAAGCTAACGTCTGTCATTGTTTCTATAGTCTTACGTTATAATCGTAATGTTACGCCGTCATGCCTGAGTGTTTTGTACCAGACTGCACACACACGAGCAGCGGATCTCGCTCGTTGTTTCGCTTCCCGGGAGATGTAGTTCATTGAGCGATTTTCACATACAACTAAATGTTACTCTTCTGTTTTATGACAAACTGCGACTTTCTTGACTTTCAGAATTATCTTTTAAATTGACAAACATCACATGTGTAATTCAGGGCACAGTTCAGACAGAATAAAAAGATAAGCTGTCTCTCGCATTGACTATCATACATATTTTTTCCAAAATAAGGTCCTGTGAGCCGGAAGCAGAGGGGAGGGACTTAGGCTCTCTATACATCAAGTGTCGGGTCAGAGGTCACTTGTCATGTGTCGGGTCAGAGGTCATGCGTCGGGTCAGAGGTCACTTGTCATGCGTCGGGTCAGAGGTCATGCGTCAGGTCAGAGGTCACTCGTCATGTGTCGGGTCAGAGGTCATGCGTCAGGTCAGAGCTCACTCATCATGTGTGGGGTCAGAGGTCATGCGTCGGGTCAGAGGTCACTTGTCATGCGTTGGGTCAGAGCTCACTCATCATGTGTCGGGTCAGAGGTCATGCGTCGGGTCAGAGGTCACTTGTCATGCCTCAGGTCAGAGCTCACTCATCATGTGTCGGGTCAGAGGTCATGCGTCGGGTCAAAGGTCACTTGTCATGCGTCGGGTCAGAGCTCACTCATCATGTGTCGGGTCAGAGGTCATGCGTCGGGTCAGAGGTCACTTGTCATGCGTCAGGTCAGAGGTCATGCATCGGGTCAGAGCTCACTCATCATGTGTCGGGTCAGAGGTCATGCGTCGGGTCAGAGGTCACTTGTCATGCGTGATTATAAAGTTATAAATATGTATATTTCTCTTACAAAAACGCATGGCTTCGCTTCAGAAGTTCTTTATTAACCCCTGGAGGCGTATGGATTACTGTTATGATGGATGGATGCGCTTTTTGGGGCTTTAAAATCTCAGGTACCATTCACTCCCATTATAAAGCTGGGAAGAGCCAGGATATTTTTTATAGTAATATAACGCCGATTGTGTTTGGCTGAAAGAAGAAGGTCATATACACATGGCTTGAGGGAGAGTAAATTATGGGATTTTTGGGTGAACTATCCCTTTAAGTGAATGATAATTCTACCTACAAATAAAAGCAGTATTTTAAAGTCGAATTGTGTTCTTTATTTATCTCATTAACATTATTTCTGTTTTTCAGTGATACTGAAATTACTCCCCTTTTATCTTACATCTTTCTTCTTTGATCTCATTTCTTATGGTTTATCATGGCTCTGAATTAGTTTAATTAAGTTAATTAGTTTATTAAAAAGTGATGCTTTATTTGCCATCTTGCATTTTACCTTGAGTTCGACAAATTTGTTTATGAGCTGCTGCAAAGCCACAACAATTGTACTATTTCAACTATTAGAGGAATCCAGTATAATTTATTCAAAGTATTTTGTCACAATAAAAAAACACAGTTCATGCTCTGTCATTTTAATATTTCAAAAAACTTCAAACCCTATTTCACAAAGATCAACATGAGCAGTTCATATGGTAAATGAATCACATTGTCATGAAAGAAACAAAAATATGCTCACCATAAAAAAAAATATAAAAAAATAAAATGTGATGTGAAGCATGAGGATACATAACCAGTGCGTTTCTAAGAAAGCCAATCGTTATCAAGAAAGAAAATTGGATCAAATAAACGAGAGCAGAGATGAAAGATAAGAGTAATAAGAGCAAATATAAAGGAACTAATAATTAAAGCACACACATGACAAAAATTAAAAGATAAAGGACTAGCGATGAGAGACTGATTATGCTGGAATATATATATAAAATACATTTTATAATTGTATCATTGAAGGGATTGGAAAATGATTTGAAAGGGGTTCAAACTCAGGTTGTCTGAATATAAAGCAACATGAAAATATCAGAGTTGCACTTAATTTTTAATAGTTAATTTAATTCACTTTTCTGACCACATGCAGCAAGTGACGTCACCATGTCAAGAAGTAAATTACAAGTTCTTTATGATTTTGAACCTTAATTAATGTTTAAATTTCTTTTAATTTAAGTAATGCCCTCTTTCTTTTTTCCCCATTCTCGTTTATTTTACTGTCTAGTTCTGTTTTTGTTTTGTGCTATGGTGTTTGTGAAGTGTTTTCTTTTACTTTTCTTTATATTTGTGTTATTTGTTACTAATTGTTGTGTTCTAATTTGGTTGTTTCACACAGTAAACTGAATGTTCAAATAAAGCATAAAAGAAGTTCTTTATGATATTATGTTTTCAGTGCTGTTGTATTCATTTTTACAAAAGGCTAACACACCATTTTCTCCCAATATAATGTTCCAACTTCTTCCAGAACAATCTTGCATGGAGGCAAATGTACAGCAACTGAAGTATTTTTTTAAAAAATTTGTTTACACCTGTACAAATTATTAACCTATATATGCAAACTTCATTTTTTTTTTGATTGAAGAAATATCAAAACAAACAATAGAAATAGAATACAATACAATACATTTCAAATGCTAGTGGGAGGTATAAACATAATACTTTAAAGAGTGTACATGTACAATCCTAATAGCTTTTTGTTTCTTCGAGGGCAATATGATATGATATAATGCTTCACTTCATTTTTAAATGCAATAAAACATGTTTTTTCCACTGAAAATTTGCATTCATGAATGTGAAATTTAGCCATCAAAATAAAAATAATAATACAATAAATGCGGGGTTGTTTCTCTTTGGAGTTTACAACAATACAAGTAGAACATCTTTCCACAATAATGTCAGATTTCCATCAACATTTCCAACAATGAGTCAAGTACATTTTGCCAAAAAAAAAAAAAGACACATAAGGACAGTGCCAAGATAAATGAACAGCTATCTCTGCAAACTATGCAAACCTCATCCGATGACATGTGGAACACAGCTGACGTGGCCACTTTAAAACTCCGCAGCGTGTGAATTACCCAATAGGAGCTCGAGGGGGGCGGGGCTTATGCCGTAACACAGACACGTGTACAGGGAAGCAGGAAGTGAAGCGGCTCACTTGGTGCCTGTATACAGTAAGTACTATTCAATAACAAATAGTCTATGCTGAGGTAAAAATGTCAAAGAATGAATGAAAACTAACCAAAAATCGGCTGTAGCTGCGTTTATTTTCCGTTTTTGAAATGTTTGAATGTTTAAATGCAGCAGAAGTTCACGATGGTCTGTAGCAGATAAACTTTATTCGGCACTGCACTCACTTTATCATATCACTAGATTGTTTAATAGTTGTTTTAACAGTTATTCAATAAAATATCAGTTGTTTCGATGCTTTGGTGTTGATTTGAGCATAATGACAGGTGCTGTGCTCACTCAGAAACAGTCTGTTTACACATCTGACACTAGTCTAGATATTGTATTGCTTACACTTTATTTTAAGAGGTCCGTGTTACAGTGTAATTCTACATTTAAGTGCTGAGTAATATTTGTAATGTACGTACTATAGGGTTAGGTTTGGTTTAGTTGCATGTAATTATGCATAATTTATAGTTAGTACTACATGTAACATGCATAACAAGGACACAAAAATAAAATGTTACCATATTTATTGTAATTATAACCACACAATTGTGTCACTGAGCTTGTCATTAAGTGAACGTTAATTCTACTTGCAAATAGTTAGAGTTGGGGCTTGTTTTAATCTCCAGTGCTTACAGGAATCCTGGATAAACAGGATTTGGTTCACACCCAACTCTGTGATGTCTAAACCGCATCTGCGTCTCTTGTCTGTTTTTCGTTTGCTCAGGCGTCATGCTTCCAGGCTTCAGTCCTGTGGTTCAGGCCCTGCTGGGGACCCTGTTCACCTGGGGGCTCACGGCAGCTGGAGCCGCTCTGGTCTTCGTGTTCTCCGGCAGACAGGTGAGCCGGGTCTCTGAAGAAACAAGCTTTCATTTAAAAAATGAGAACGACATGAGCATTAGGGCTGGGTATCGATTCAGATGTTCTAATTCGATTCGATTTTCGATTCCTGATTCGATTCTCGATTCGACTATAATAAATATAGATGTAATACAAATCCTATATTTATAAAAAAGAACAGTGGACATAAGTTTACAAGTGGTTAAATAATACAAAGAAATTAAGAGCCACAAACCTGTATATAAAACTCTTTTTATTTTAGGTTCACACACTAAATGCATTCACACACTAAATGCATACAATGAATAGACAGGATTTTGATGCAAGATGCAAAATTGATGCTGAAAATTGGACAAGTCAGAACAGTCACATGCCTTTGATCAAACAGGATCAGGTTATTTTATGTTTAAGATAGATCGATAAATAAATATCAGTTATCACTTTTTAGACATTTTTTTTTTTTTACATTGATCTCACCTAAATGTTTGTTTTTACAATGGGGTAATTTTTTTTGTTAAGAGTTTATGCAACACATGGAAGCTTGATTTCAATATTTGAGTTAAATTGAAAAAAGTAGCACAAATAAATACAATAGAATAAAGACACAAATAAAGAGACATAAAAAGAAAAGTTTTTGGGTAGGTCAGAAATACTACAGAAACTGAATAAAGTAATCCAATGTAAAATAACACTGGATAGTCTTTTAGTCCTGACTGAATTAAATACATTGGCTATTAATTCTGATTCCTTACAATTAATGCTATATTATGTTGTTTTGACAACAAAATTAATGACAGACACATATGGCTGCGTTCACTTTAAGAGCTAGTGCACGGATCCATTACTGTTTCATTATACTGTCTGTCACCAGTGTTGTGCTAGTTACTAAGAAATAGTAACTAGTTACAGTTACTAGTTACTTCATTCAAAAAGTAACTCAATTACTTTGTTGATTACTTGCACCAAAAAGTAATGCGTTACTGTGAAAAGTAACTTTTTAGTTACTTTTTTAAAGAAAGTTCTTTAATGTTCCCATTAATGCCCTTTTATGCGTTATGGTCTATACAAACACAAAACTGACTTAAACAGAAAGTAATTTTTAAACACTATTTTATTTAAGTCAGACCAGCACAAACTGAATATATCACAAGGATTTCTGAAATAAATAACAAAACAAGCATGTGTAAAGCTAGTGATGTGTTTGCTTTCTCAACATTGATATGTTCATGCAGCTGACAGTAATACGTTTTTACTGCATGAATGAATATTTGAGCAATACAATTGTACCTTGATCATTCTTGTTAGTTCATAGTAGGCTAATTAACTAAGGTAATAACAGATACAATAACAATTTAAACTCAATTTCAAATGTATTAAGTAAATGTTGAAATTAAAAAACTAACAATGAATGATACTTCTACAACATTTATTAACCATATTTAATGCTAAAATTGTAATCTCATTGTAAAGTGTTACCATTTTATATGATTCAAGCTTATAGAAGATGGCCATATTTAAATATCTGCAAAGGCCAGAGCATTAAAATTACATAAATGTAGACCTATATATTACATGTATAGTCTTTCACTTTATTTGCTTAAATTTTAGAACACTTGATTAGGAAACTTGATGTCGCTGCATGAACATATCAATGTAAGCAATCACGTCAGCTTTAAAAATACAACTTTGCCGGCTAATGAATGCATAACAGTGACCAGCTGGATATAAACTAATGCAAATAGATGGTAACAATTGCGACATAAAACATCTGGGTCAGGTCTGCGTGTGTTTTGGTCACATTGCTTTAATCGCTTGAGGTAAGTTAGCCGTTACTAATGTTATTCCTCTCAGACTCGACGGCAAGCTTCTGTTCTTTCTCAGTTGATGCAGCATCTAGACAAAATATTACTTTATAATGATATGGCAATGTGTACTTTAGTGTTCTGTATTCATACCGTTTCGCTGTCTGTGTTTTAAATGCGCATCTGAAGTGCTCAGCGCTCTCCGTGCAGCTTGTAATCTCCGTGCTCGCGCTGCCTCACGTGTTAACGTAAACAACTCAGCCAGTGAGTTTATGTGTCCTCTCGCTCTGTATAATGCTAGCAGTCTCTTCAGTGATCTCGTACTGTGTAATGACAGCGCACACTTCTCAGCCGCTCCAGCAACTAATTAATTTAAAAAAGTAACGGACAACGCACCATATGGTAACGATAACGGAGTTACTTTATTTAAAAAGTAATGCGTTACAGTATTAGTTACTGTCAAAAGTAACTGCGTTACAGTAACGCGTTACTAGTAACGCGTTACTGCCCAACACTGTCTGTCACAAGCTTTTTATGCTTATTTAAGACATAACCGACTGTCTTTACGAGGTTACTCACCAAGACCAGAGTTTTGACATCATTTTGCGTGTTTTTAACTGTTAAAGCGATATAATCCACGAAAAAGAACTTTCGTTACTGGCGAGCTGTTTGTGAAGCGGATTTACTGTATGTGCACGAGAGCGCGCGAGCACTGAATAGTTTAAAAATGCTTGAATGTTTAAACTGGTAAAACTTAAAAAGACTTGAAAATGATAAACGTTAGTTATGATGCAATGCTGGCTCGATTGTGCAAGTGAATATTCCGCCATGTCATGACTCCTAAACACGAGTGTGTATCAACGCTTGACGCTTGCCTTGTGCAGAGAGACACAAGACGCAGCACAGCGAGCCCTGAATATGGAAAAAATCGATTTGTGGCCATTGAGAATCCATTTTGAATCGACCACCTTTTTAAAAACGATTAATCGAAAAATCGATTTTTTTCCCCCAGCCCTAGAGCATATGATGACAGAAATGTCAATCTGATTCTGACCCAGACAGCAACATACAGTGCTTATCATAAGTGAACACACCCATGCTAAAGTTAACTTTGGAATTAAAATATCCCCACTTCATCACATACCTAGAGATCGGCATGGTTTTATTTCAGTTAGCCTATAGCTGGTTTGATTTGCATTGAGAGATGATCTTATGGAAAGGACCCCATGCCGATCTCTAGGTGTGGTGAAGGGTGTGTGATGAAGTGGGGATATTTTAATCCCAGAGGCCGAGGGAACTTTATCAGGACGCATAGTGTCCCGGATCCATGAAATAACTGGCCTTTAAAAATAAAAATCTGCCCCTCTATGGGAGTTTAACACAGGGGTGTCCTGACTTATGCCCCCTGTATTTTAAGGAAGAACATTTATTTATTCACGATACATTATTCATTCATAAAGAAAATTGGTGTCCTTAAAGGTTGGATTTTTCCTAATTTTTTTTAATTAAGGAATTAAGATCAATTTCCAAAAAATGATTTTTTATTCCTCTTTTTAGTTAACTTTAGCATGGGTGTGTTCACTTATGCTAAGCACTGTAGTGTCGGCCCACATCTGATACGTGTTGAAACAACATGTTTTGTGGGCCGACACTATGTTGCTGTCTGGGGAATGGCTTTCTTGTTTTCGTTGAACACAGAAAAAGGTATTTTGAATAATGTACTGATGACTTTTATCCACCTTAGTGAAAAAAGAACAACATTTATTTCATACTAAGTATAGTACAAACTCATTAACATTTTTACTGGCATATAACCTGAGACTTAATGATGTAAATATTGTAATTATACTTTATTTGGAGTACTTCTTTATTGCACAATGCACATTTCTTAATATTAAGCCTAAAATGTGTAATAATAATCAATAATTATCACTAATAGTATCTCTGTATAATATCAGCCATTACATGCTAGATATTTAAAGTGTATCTGAAGTATACTTGCAATAGTTACACAATCAAATATACTTAAGTTTATCTTTAGTTGGACTATTTCCAGATAAATAAAGTGCATTAAGTACAAAATTAATTGTTCCAATTTAGCAGATTTTAAGTATATCAATTTAGTAGATCAAAAGTACAATTGCAGGGTATTTTTATTAAGTACATAAATATGTAAATGTATTTGTAGTATACTTAGCATGAAATAAATGTATTTCAAACACATTTTTGTGTGTTTATTTTTCACTAGGGTAATTTTAGTTTTAATTTTAGTAAAAAATATTTTTAAGCATTTTTTTTTTTTAGATTTACACAATTGAAGTAATAGTTAAATTCCACCTAATTGAATTGAATAATCCTTATGTATTTTAATTGAATAACTGATTAAGGATTGTTCAGTTATTCAATCAAAAGTTGTATTTTTTTATTCAGTTCAATTTAAAAAAGGCTTAATTTTTTTTAAGCGAGTGTAGGCTGAGTAAATCTAAATCAGTGTTATTGTTGTTAACTAAGACTATTTCTGTTAATTGAAATTAAGTGGAAATGAATTAAAATATAAATATCAGTTGAAAAACTCAGCAGAGAAATGTTGCCTTGGCAATAAACTGAAATAAATTCAAATTAAAGCACTAAAATTATTAACTGGAAAAAGTCAAACTAAAACTGAAATAACAATAAATTAAACCTAAATAGCAATATTTAAAAAAAAAACACAAAAAATTACTAAAGCACAAAACGAAATTAATACAAATTAAACATGAAAACTAAAAATAAAAGATAATTCAAAATATTAATATAATTTTAATATAATAATTATATTATTATTTAAAACTAACACTCTTATTTGATTAAGTTTTCATCAATGATTCAGTTTTTTCCCTGTTTATTACTGTGAAGCTGCTTATATCGGTATATTTTAATGCGCTATAGTTAAAAATAAACGACGACTTTTTATTTTTAGTGTGAGTCAAAGCATTGAATCAAACTGTGCTAATGTGATGATTTGAGTTTTGTTTACAAGAAATATTGTAATTTTAACAGTAAAAAACTGTACAAATGCTACTATAAAAAAGTTACCTTGCTAGTACTTACAGTGAAAACTGTAATCGATCACATGGGACATTTCATGTAATTGTATTTTACAGTAAACTACTGTTAAATGTACAGTTTTTGGAAGTGAAATATATATTAGTATTTACCTCAGCTTGTGAAAAGCTGCTTCTGATGAACTTCATTCATCATGTCTCTCTCATCACCACCTTGTTTGAAGAATTTTTTTTAACCATTTTTTTTTTACGGTAAAGTTGTGGCGACTACAGCTGCTGCTTCTTTACTGTAAACTTTAAAAAAAATTTTTTTTTTACAATGTATCTTTTTCTGTCCTCCTCTCAGAAGCGGATCTTGGACGGCAGTCTGGGATTTGCGGCAGGGGTAAGAGACCCGCAAACCCTATTTTTTTACTTTCATTCTTTGCTTTATGTGTCCGTCATTTCTTCACCTTTTTGCCATCAATTCTTTTGGTGTCACCATCACACATCTCTTTAAATAAAACAGATATTTGACATCCGTTGGTAAGGGCAGGCAGGGCATGTTTTCTTCTCTTCTGCGCAGGGAAACTGTCAGTGAGGCTTAGAAAAGAATAGATGTTATTTATCTGTGACCCAGAGTTAATTACACTGTCTGGTTTTGATTATCCTGAATATCTAATGCAACATCAGGTTTGCAGAACTCTTGTTTCACAATTCATCCTTTGTGCTCGCCTGAAGGACTGTGGAAAATTATCTTGCATTGAAAATGAAAAATATAATTTCCTTGACATTAAATATGCATGGTTTGTAGATTGTAATTTAAAATCCAGTAAACTAATAAAGTGAATAAATGTTTATTTTCTGCATGCACGTTCAAGACATAATGAGAACTGTAATGATGCTCAATCTTTAGTTTAAATGCAGTCTTGTGTAGTTTTTTTCTCTTATTAAATCTGTTGCAGAGATTGAGATTGTTTCAACCTTTAGATATGATTGTACTTGACGACTGTTTGTCTTTTAAATCGCATATTGATCTACAATACTGGATGAGAATTTATTGTAGGAAATTGTTACTAACATCATTAAATTGATCAAAAGTAACAATAAAGACCTTTATAATAGAGAAAGAATCCTACTTCGTTTATCTGTCGTTCATAGAACTTTCTGTTCATCAAATAATCCTGAAAAAACTGGTTTTACGGTTTCCACAAAAATATTAAAGGTCCCGTTCTTCATGTTTTTTCGAAGCTTTGATTGTGTTTACAGTGTGCAATATAACATGTGTTCATGTTTTCACACAATTTACTTATCTGTATGCCGCTGTTTTCACTGTCCAAAAAACGGCCCGATGACTTCCTTGTTCTATGAAGTCCCTCCTTCAGAAACACGTAACGAGTTCTGATTGTGCCAGCGGGTCCTGTGTTGTGACTGGACAGCAGCTTATCGCACGTTCCCCGGAAAGGTCACGCCTCTTACCATAAATTGGAGATGCATGCGCAGCTGAAGTGCTTCTTCTCCGTGGGAGCGCAACAAGACCACGCCCCCTTTTTTGTGTATTCCTGTGGGCGGAGATTAGTCAAAAAGCTGTTCTAGTTACGTCATTAAAAAAGGAAGTAGAGGGATGTGGTCCAAACCGGCCGTTCGCTGTATGCTTTGAAAGGGGATATCTCGCTAGGCATTGAACTTTGAGCTTTATAATTTTACAGGTATTATTTATGCTCTAACAGCAGCATTACACACTAATTAGAGTTTGAAAAATGGAATCGCGAAGAACGGGACCTTTAAGCAGCAAAATACCGTCCGTCCATCCGTCCATCTATCATTCTGTCCGTCCATCCATCCATCCATCCATCCGTCCATCCATCCATCCGTCCATCCATCCATCCATCCATCCGTCCATCCGTCCATCCAATCCAATCGTCCATCCATCCATCCATCCATCCATCCGTCCATCCGTCCATCCAATCCAATCGTCCATCCATCCATCCATCCATCCATCCATCCATCCGTCCATCCGTCCATCCATTCAATCCAATCGTCCATCCATCCATCCATCCATCCATCCGTCCATCCGTCCATCCGTCCATCCGTCCATCCAATCCAATCGTCCATCCATCCATCCATCCATCCATCCATCCGTCCATCCGTCCATCCAATCCAATCGTCCATCCATCCATCCATCCGTCCATCCAATCCAATCGTCCACCCATCCATCCTATCCAACCACACATCCATCCATCCGTCCATTCAATCCAATCCAATCGTCCGTCCATCCGTCCATCCATCCATCCATCCATCCGTCCATCCAATCCAATTGTCCATCTTATCCATCCACACATCCATCCATCCGTCCGTCCGTCCGTCCGTCCATCCATTCAATCCAATCCAATCGTCCGTCCATCCGTCCATCCATCCATCCATCCATCCATCCGTCCATCCAATCCAATTGTCCATCTTATCCATCCACACATCCATCCATCCGTCCGTCCGTCCGTCCGTCCATCCATCCATCCAATCCAATCGTCCATCCATCCATCCATCCATCCAATCCAATTATCCAACCACACATCCATCCAATCGTCCATCCGTCCATCCGTCCATCCATCCATCCATCCATCCAATCCAATCGTCCATCCATCCATCCAATCCAATTATCCAACCACACATCCATCCATCCATCCATCCAATCGTCCATCCATCCATCCAATCCAATCGTCCATCCATCCATCCATCCATCCATCCAATCCAATCGTCCGTCCATCCATCCTATCCAACCACACATCCATCCATCCATCCATCTGTCCATCCAATCCAATCGTCCGTCCATCCATCCATCTGTCCATCCAATCCAATCCAATCGTCCATCCATCCATCCATCCATCCGTCCATCCAATCCAATCGTCCATCCATCCATCCTATCCAACCACACATCCATCCATCCATCTGTCCATCCAATCCAATCGTCCGTCCGTCCGTCCGTCCAATCCAATCCAATCGTGCATCCATCCATCCTATCCAACCACACATCCATCCATCTATTGTTGTATCGCATCACGTCCGTCCGTCCGAAACTTTTTAATTTGGTTTACAGAATTGACTGGAAGATTAGCTGAAGGCTCGTGCTTGTGAGCACGACAGACTCCATCATCATCATCATCATCATCATCATCATCATCATCATCATCATCATCATCATCATCATCATCATCATCATCATCATCATCATCATCATCATCATCATCATCATCATCATCATCATCATCATCATCATCATCCTCCTCCTCTTCTGAGGTCTGCTGTTGTCCATATAGTCCTTTAGTTTTGTGGTCTTGCTTTGCCTCAAGCAACTGTGTTCCTGTTAGATACACCACAGCATCTGGCATCATGACAATGCCAATAGCAAATACTCCTGAGGTCATCCTCTCTCTTTCTATGGTGAAGATATGGGAGGGTGAAGGCATCTGGACAGGCTGTTAGGGGCTTTAAGAAACGCCGAGGGGCTGTTAGTCTGATTTGTGTGGTCAATTATAACCATGTTTTCAACAATAGTCGTCACCAGAAATTAATGTGTTTAGAGGAAGCATTTGTTCTGTGTAGTCTTTGTTTGTCACTGAAGATTAATGGCTGTAATTTCTGGAAGTAGCAGTCGGTGTGTGTGTGTGTGTGTGTGTGTGTGTGTCTGTCAGTGCTTTTGCCTTTTTAGACAGAAAGTGTAGAGTGACAAAGTAATTAGGGAGCGTGAGTGATGTAAAGCAGTCCAGACTTGAACCTGAACCCGAACCCACTGCTATGCCACAACACTGACAAAAGAGTCGACTTTTAAAAGCATTACAATCGTTTTTTCATTATAAGGTCCACTTATAGTGTAATTGAGGTTTCTTGCACCAGAACATTTTTGGTTCATACCACCATTTTCCCTGGCCTGTTTTATGTCCACTTTTTCCTCCAGATGTTTAGAAAAAATGTGTCTATTTGCATCCTCATTATTACCTCATCAGGGTGTGTGATATTGATATCTCATAAATGATATCTTAATGTTTTCTATGAATGTGTTAATAATGATAATTAGACAATATTTTGCTGAGTGTGTTATTTTGCCGGTTTAGGTCAAGTTACCTTTATTTATAGCGCTTTATACAATACAGATAGTTTCAAAGCAGCTTCACAGTAATAAACAGCAAAATAACAACCAATATCTGTGAAAAAATATGAAATAATTTACAAAACATGCACAAAAAGTATGCTGCTCGTATGTTTGTCATATATAGTTTTTAAATAAGATATTTTTTAAAGAAATTAAGTGACTGTAAATACATGTATAATGTTACAAAGATTTCTATTTCAAATAAATGCTGTTCTTTTGAACTTTCTATTCAAAGAATCCACAAATATATGAAGCAGCACAACTGTTTTCAACATTGATAATAATCAGAAATGTTTCTTAAGCAGCAAATCAGCATATTAAAATGATTTCTGAATGTATAAGTACTAATGGTAAATGGACTGCATTTATATAGCACTTTCACCACCAAAGCGCTTTACATTTTTGCCTCACATTCACCCATTCACTCACTCATTCATACACCGATGTATAAGTACTATAAATACTTTTTTGAGTATTTGGATGTGTTCAGAAATTTGCTTACGTTCACATAGGATCCTTTCATGTACGTTTATAAGTAAGGCTCATGGTCTATTAGAACGTGTGAAAGATTTAAAGGTTAAAAGTAAAAATGCTGGAGATGCTTGAAAGCGATGCACTGATAATTATTGAGTGCTGTGAAAGATACTGAAGGCGTGTGTGTGTGTGTGTGTGTGTGTGTGTGTATAGTAGACTTCCTGGTTTTTCCCCCCTGACAGATTCAGTGTTGTGTAGGTCTGTATTAGGTGTTCACTTTGAAATAAAAAAGTATAGTTGTAACTTGAAATGCGCCTCCCATATGTAATCATCAGCTGCGTATCGAGCACCTCTGAGGGAAGGCGGGTAGATTTAATTATACAGAATGTAGAATTTAAATGCGGTCTAATGCTCTCCATCCCCGTCACTGAGCCCGATTACAAATCAATACCGGACCGATGAGTTCAGAGAAGAGCCTGGGATGGGATGGCTTGAAGTGTTGGATAAATACTGTGTGTGTGTGTGTGTGTGTGTGTGTGTGTGTGTTAGAGCTCAGACTGAGAGGAGAAGAAGGAATTCAATTACGGTTAAATTGGTAATAAAAACGTTAATGGCCAATTTGGATCTTAAATCTGATTTCAGTGCTTATTTCAATTCATACATTTCATTTTATTCATTCAGTTTAATTGCTGTAATTACTAAATGTCTATAAAATGCACGTAGCGCGGAAACCAATCAATGATTTTATCATGACCCCCTAAGTGATCGGGCAGACCAACACCGTA